TCTCCCTATTCCGACTGGGTTTTTTCCTATGTTATTCCATTATATCACAGAACGTAAAACTGAGATTCGTATATGTGTAAGGATACTGATGACGTGGACTCATTACACCTGAACGTGGCCTGATATAAAGTGTACAGGATACAACACCTCTGTTTAAAACGTTTCAATCGTCTCGTTCCGGTTACGTCACACAAGCTGGAAGTCTAAACGTTTCTCCTGAATATTTTACCGATAAATGGAGAGGTTCTAAGCCACAACAAAAAAACTTGTGGCTCGAGGATTTTGGACGCGGGGACAGCGAGCCTTCTTCGACATCAAGATTTTTGATCCCATGGCCGCATGTCACCGTAACTTAGCTCTCGATGCTGCACACAGGAGGAACGAGAACGACAAGATAAGGGAATATGGGGAGAGAATTCAGAACGTTGATCAAGGCAGCTTCACTTTTCTAGTGTTCACAACCTCTGGTGGGATGGGACCACGTGCAAGATGCTTCTACGCCAGACTCACGGAGGTGATATCCGAACAGAAGCAGCAGCCCAGAAGTTATGTTACAGCCTGGATGAGATGTCGACTGTCCTTCTCTCTCCTTCGGTCGGCTTTGCTCTGTCTCAGAGGAACGAGAGCATCGGCCCCCAAAGCCGACAACAGTTGCAGATAATGAATATGAGGCAACAGTCACTGAATGCCGCATACATCTGCGGCTCAACTAACTCAACACAGCCAGGGTAGCTACTTATGTAGTTGTAGTAGTAGTAATAGTAGTAATCCTCACAGCAAACATGCTGTAGATATGCTGCCACGTCATTGTATAACCGACCCTTCCCCTCCTGGACGGCGAGCGCCTTGTCCACAGGACTATCAATACATCCAACGAAGCCCGTGTGGACACCAGTGCTCGAGAATTCTGGGCGCGTGACAGTGAGCCTTTTCTAACATCAGGATATTCGACCTTATGGCCGCATGTCACCATAACCTGTCTCGTGAGGCTGCACACAGGAGGAACGAAAATGACAAGAACAGAGCTTAAGAGGGAGAGAATCAAGAACGTGGATGAAGGTAGCGTCGCTCTGGCGTTCACAACATCTAGCTGGATGTGACCTAATACAATATGCTTCTATGCAAGACTGGCTGAGGTGATAGCAGAACAGAGGCAACACCCCAGACATTACGTCGTGGTCTGGTTGAGATGTTGCCTGTCCTCTCTCTCCTAAGGTCTGCATTGCTTTGCCTCAAGGGAACGAGATCTTCGGCCCCAAAGCCGACAAGAGTCGCAGATATTAACTATGAGGCAACAGTCACTGAATGCCGCATAGATCTGTGACTTAACTAACTCAACACACCTAGGGTAGCTACTGATGTAATAAAATAATGGTGAAGGTATGGTTATAAGAGGAGATTGGAGTCTATAGAAAGTAGAAGTAATTGTAGCCATAGTAATAGTTGTAGAAATGGTAGTTCTACTACAAATTGTTGTAGTAGCAGCAGCTGTAATAAAAAAATAATAATAATGATAATTATTATTATTTTTATTATTATTATTATTATTATTATTATTATTATTGTTAGTATTATTATTATTATTATTATTATTATTATTATTATTATTATTATCAGTAGTATGTGGAGAGAATTCAGACTGGATCACGGCAGCGTCACTCCTCTGGTGTTCTCAGCCTTTGGCGGGATGGGACAGTGGAAGATTCTTCTACGCAACACTGGCCGAAGTGTTATTTGAACAGAAACAGCAGCCCAGAAGTTACGTTAAGGCCTGGTTCAGATGTCGTCTGTCCTCTCTGCTAAAATCTGCATTGCTTTGCCTCAGGAGAACGAGATCTTCGGCCCCAAAGCCGACAACAGTCACAGATATTAACTATGAGGAAACAGTCACTGAATGCCGCATAGATCTGTGACTTAACCAACTCAACACACCTAGGGTAGCTACTGCTGTATTAGGATATTTAATATTAAGGTAATAAAATGGTGGCAAAGGTATGGCTATTGGGGGAGGCTGGAGGCCACGTAGTGGAAGTAGTAGTAGTAGTAGTATGCAATAGGCCTATCCGTGCTTCAACACAATAAAATTTAAAACAACTGAGGTCAAGCAAACGGCGTTCGCTGATTACCTTACAGGAGCAGGAAAAGTGAAGGACCTCAGAAAGTGGTGGGACCTGGTAACATCACGAGGCCCACAATAGGGTACCTCCCAAACGCCAGCAAGTCCTTCCTCATTGTGAAGACAGAACATTATGAATGGGCAATGGAGGTGTTCGGTGGAAGTGAAGTCAAAATAACAAAGGATGGCCAAAGACACCTAGGTACAGTCATCGGCACGACGGACTACAAGACCGAATACATAACGGGAAAGGTGAATGAGTGGGTTAGGGAAATCCAAGCTCTGTCTGATATTGCTAACACAGAGCCACATGCGGCTTTTGCGGCATTCACCGATGGAGTCAAGCATCGCTGGAACTACCTGATGCTCATTATCCCTGATATCGGACCCCTCCTCCACCCTCTGGAAGAAGCTATCAGCGTAAATTTCATTCCCAAATTAGAGAAACACCCTCACTTAACCCCAGCAGAAAGATCACTCCTTGCACTACCACCTAGACTGGGAGGAATGGGATTCACCAATCCAGAGGAGATTGCTGCCACCGAACATCAAAACTCAGTTAAGCTCATGGCAGCCCTCACGGACCACATAACAGCTCAGAACGCAACAGGGGAGGTGGATACTAGTGAAGTAAACAAGATTCGAAGGTCCATTATGACAGAACGACAGCACGGCCAAAGTGATCAGTTGCAGCAACTGATGCTGCAGGTACCAGAGAATTTGAAAAAAAAAGTCGCTATAGCGCCGGAGGTGGGCGCCTTGAACTGGTTAACTACGTTATCGATAAGGGCAAATGGTTTCAGTCTCAATAAACATGAATTTACAGAAGCCAATGCTCTAAGGTACGGTAGGCCAGTAGAAGGCTTGCCCTCCCAATGCGTGTGTGGCTCTTTCTATGACGTCGATCAAGCCATGGTGTGTAAGAAAGGGGGCTTCATATGCAAGAGGCATGGCGAAGTAAGGGATCTCACAGCAAATATGTTGAAGGAAATCTGCCGTTATATCAGGGTAGAACCGACCCTCCTTCCATTGGACGGTGAGAATTTCCAACATAGGACTTCAAACACATCCAACGAAGCCTGTGTTGACGTCAGTGCTCGAGGATTCTGGACGCGGGGACAGCGAGCTTTCTTCAACATCAAATTTTTTTATCCCATGGCCGCATGTTACCGTAACTTAGCTCTCGATGCTGCACACAGGTGGAACGAGAACGACAGAGATGGGCATACGGGGAGAGAATTCAGAACGTTGATCAAGGCAGCTTCACTCCTCTAGTGTTCACAACCTCTGGTGGGATGGGACCAAGTGCACGATGCTTCTACACCAAACTCGCGGAGGTGTTATGTGAACAGAAGCAGCAGCCCAGAAGCTTCGTTACAGCCTGGATGAGATGTTGACTGTCCTCTCTCCTTCGGTCGGCTTTGCTCTGCCTCAGGGGAACGAGAGCATCGGCCCCAAAGCCGACAACAGTTGTAGATAATGACTATGCGGCAACAGTCACTGAATGCCGCATACATCTGCGGCTCAACTAACTCAACACAGCCAGGGTAGCTACTGATGTATTAGGATATTTAGTTAGGTAATAAAATGAAATTATACTAAAAGTATGTTTGGTGAAGTTACGTTAACTTAAGTTAACTTAGGTTAGGTTAGGTTAGGTTAGGTTTTGTATGAAACTTTTCATGTATATGAATTCTTACGACTTACGTGAGCGTTTCTTGTTAGTCACAAGATTCCCTCATAAAGGATAAATACACCACCATCACCATCACCACCACCACCACCACCACCACCACCACCACCACCACCACCACCACCACCACCTCCACCACCATTACTCAGTCAATATATTCTACGCACGGTTCCCTTCCGTATATATTTCGTTATACTTTCTAGAAATCATTATTCTTGTTATTAGTATTTCTCCTTGGGTAATTCTGATACAATATTTCCTTTGTTGTTGTTGTTCGTCTCATTGTTGTTGTTACTGTTCGTCTTCTTCTCGTCTATATTCGCCCTAATTAATATTCAAACAAAACCAATATTATCATACTATCAATTATTCCCTTATTTCTTCTTTCTTATTTCCTGTTCTCACCTTTCGTCTTATTATGGACACAATCACAGGAACAGAACAGAACACACAGGGAGAAGGGCTCACTACCTTCACTGTAGAGTCAAAATAGATCCTAGAGTTTGTTTAGAAATGTTAGATTTAGGCGTGAAAATAGAGGTTTATTAATTTCTCTTTGGTTACAGTAATACTTTTTTATAAAACTTCAAGCTGGATACAGCTAGAAATGTAATTAACTAAAATACGTATTACAAGATTCCATTAGAACTGGATCGTAGAGAAGAGAAATTATTTTTTCGTCCAAGTCATTTCACAGATAGTCTCTTCTTTGTCAGTAAGGAACTTCCATGGGAAGACACAGAAGTGTACCCGAGAATCAAGAACAAGATGCTGGGTCCAGGAGAAATTAATAAAAATTTCCCCGACACGGGTATAAAAATAGATGATCTAGTTTCCTCGTTCGTAGCAACAAACCCGGGTATATGGAACCCTTAAGGCAGGTGTCCGATAATACCAACCTGCCCGAGGGGATGCTGCCTCATGAGTACCAACACCACAGAGCGGAACGTTTAGTTGGCTTCAAGGGCAAGTCGAACAATCGAAGTGGTTGCATATTTTGGTTATGGTCGGGTTACTGGGTAGAAATTTACCTCACCTACAAGGTGAGATAAGGCCACCGTCAAGTATCAGAGACACGTGACGTGAGCAAATAGGAAGAGCCGAAGCTATTGACGTCAGAGACTTCCCCGTCTAGCTCAAGTTGTTTAAAATGGCGGTGGATGGGTGAAGCTAGACCAGTCTCCTCCTTCTTCACCGAGCGTCAACAACCATCCTCTAGCCTCTCTCTCTCTCTCGTTTGTGTATCCCGATATTGAGAGATACGCATGTTCTAACGTAACCAATCATAGAGACATTATCAAAGTTGTTATAAACATCTCTCAGCCATAAAGAGATATTTCAAGACTTCATCATCAGGGAGCGAAGCGTCGAGGTCACACTCTCTGGCTGAACACTTCCAGCGCGACCAAAACGTTCCTGCCTCACTCACAGCTGATCCTCACACACGTTCCAGCTTTTACAGACTTTCGAAAAGGAACGCATCTCGCCACACATACAGAAATACGCTCACAAAGAGGCGTCCAACATAAACAGACATGGACGGGTCTAGCTACGAACATCTGAGAGCGTCCTTCACACTGGAGGAGCCGCTCTTCAGTGGGGACGCCAGTATAGACAGCCTCTGTCAGACGTACTTGGGAAATTTGGACTCCTTCTCCTCTGGTCCGGATGCCTACAGCAACTCTCTGGAGCCCCCCAGCCTCAGCCTGGACTACTACGGCAGTTCCCTGGACATCAACAATCTCAGTTTGGACTCACACAGCCCCAGATTGGACTCTCTCAGCCCCAGAATGGGCTCCTACAGCCCCAGACCGGACTCCCACAACAATTCCGGTCTTCTGGAGGAAATTGAAGCTTTCTCGAAGATGGATATTAGAGACTGGAGAGGCGAGGTGAGTGATTAACATCAGTGAAAATTATCAAATTATCTCAACCAAAACTGAGGGAAACACATAACATTTTTCGACACTAATTCAAAATACGCAAAACAAAAATATTGAATTTTGGAATCTTTTATAATTTGTTAATATTACAGAATTCCAATGTGTTGGTTCACTGAAGAGCGTTATAACGTTGTTGTTATAATTTATAATCAACTTGGTACCTATTTCCCTCAGTTAATTATGTTCTTTACCTTCTTTCTCTTTCTCTCATCTGTATGTTCCAATAGCATCTCCATAATTCTCTCTCTATCTTGATCGTAAACACCAACACTTACTCTTCACCACCAGGACTGCCTCGACTGGGCAGGGAGTGTGTGTCGCCGGCGTGGTGTCGACCAGTCCACCTTAGACCTGTGGTCCTTCAAGGGGACGTGTGGAGCCCACCTGCTGCAGTACTCGTGCCAGGACTTCTGTTACCTTGTTGGGGGCATCTACGGGCCCCTCTTTTACCAGGAGTTTATACAGCTTCTACAGGAATGTCAGAGTGGTGAGTATCTGTGTGTGTGTGTATGTGTGTGTGTGTGTGAGTGTGTGTGTGTGAGTGTGTGTGTGAGTGTGTATGTGAGTGTATGTGTGTGTGTGTGTGTGTTTGTGTGAGTGTGTATGTGAGTGTGTGTGTGTGTGTGTGTGTATGTGTGTGTTTGTGTGTGTGTTAGTGTCAGATAGTTTCGTGTGTGATGTTCGCCCTCCCTCCCTCCCTCCCTGAGTGGAGAGAAAGTTGAGGAAGGCAGCTCTCAGTCAGCTGCCACCACACGAGTATTAAGAGGCAGGTGTAAAGTATTTCAACACCAACAGAGGTTTTCTTTATCAGGTTTTTGTTCCAAGATTTTAAAGCAGATGTGTGTGTGTGTGTGTGTGTGTGTGTGCATCAGTCACGCTCAAGGTCCTAATAGTTACAGATGCTACCACCAGGTGTCTTGGCCAGGTGTTTTAGGCAGATGCTTCCATTTGGTTGTTGTCACAGTAAAAGTTTTTACCTGGTGTTTTAAGACATGCTTCAGCAGATGTCAAATAAATAACCAAAACACCCGTTTGTTAATTATTTAAGACAGCTGTTAGAGAAGACCTTTTAAAACAAAACAAAGCACAAAATATATAATAAAAGATGACTGCTATTTTTATATATAACCAACACTCACACATATGTATATACGTATTGGATTTATAACAAGAGGTTTTTCCACCATTCATCATAACAGGTAACAATTCCTCGTCTTCCGCCACCACCAAGTTACACCACCGAGCGACACCCCCCAAGGCTACCTCGCCCTTACCCTACCCAAGTCCTGACCTCTCCAACGACATCTCCCTTGGCTCTGACCACTGGGACCTGACCTCAGAGGACATTAAGGATCTCGACAGATATATTCAGGACCCCAACGCTGCTCCTGCTGACTCTTACACGGCCGATGGTCTGCAGGGCATGGACTTTCTTGAGCAGTCTGTCCCTATACAATATGGTGAGTGTCCCTGTCTGTCTGTCTACCTGTCCCTATACAGTATGTTGAGTGTCCCTGTCTTCACTGTATGTATAAATCAACAATTGGTCTCTATCTCTCTGTCTCTTTGTCTCCAGAGAGCCTCGAGACAACGCCCGAGTCCGTCGCCATGGTGTCAGCTGGCAAGGATTCCACTACTCCTCTGCCCTCTAGTGATCCCCTCCAGAAGATCCGCCCTGACGCTAAGAAGAGAGGTAAGTGTGTCTTAAGATCCTTGGCGATATAATAATAATAAGACGAAGAAGAATATTATCAGTACTAGTATTATTAGTGGCATTATTAGTTGTATTATTATTATTCATATTCATTTTACATTACTATTATTACTACTATTATTTATCAGTCTCATTACTATCGCCACCATTACATCAGCAATACTAATGTGTCTTTCATCTCCTCTCCCTCATCATCAGAACGAGGACCTAAGAACTGGGAATTCGTAATACGACTTCTTGCCGACCCCCAGACCAACCCATCCCTGATACGGTGGGAGGAACAGACCCAAGGCACTTTCCGCCTCGTACAACCAGCTGTTATTGCTCGTATGTGGGGCCAGAGAGCGGACAGACCTAACCTATCTTATGACAACTTCGCCCGTGGGTTAAGGTATGTTTGATTCATTATTTGTCTTATTACTATAGCTACTACTACTACTTACTACTACTTTTTTTTTCTTAAACGTGGCCTCCAGCCTCCCCCAATAGCCACACCTTCGCCACGCCACTACTACTACTACTACTACTACTACTACTACTACTACTACTACTATACTACTACTACTACTACTACTACTTTACTACTTTTTTATTGGCCTCCAGCCTCCTCCTACTACTATTATTACTACTACTACTACTACTACTACTACTACTACTACTTCTATTCAAGACTAGCGTATATATATATGTGTGTGTATATGAATACCTCACTGGATACACATTAATAACCTTCAATTTTGACCAAATCTCAATAATACTCCCCGTAAACACCTCCTAACCACCCAATCCCCTTCTCCTCCTACAGGTACCACTACACCACAGGGGCCCTCCAACCGGTGTCCGAGAAGCAGTTGGTGTACCGCTGTGGTCCCAAGGCTCTCAAATATCTGATTGATCTCAGGAAACAGGGATCACCGTAGAGATTGATCGTCACTCCTCGTCACTGGGAGGCTTATCGTCACTCATCGTCACTCCTCGTCACTGGGGAGTTAATACAGGCGGTCATGAGAAATCATCGTCACTCCTCGTCGACAGCCATCGTTAACCACGTCTTCTATCATCAACATCCGCTTCAGTACTCCTGAACGCCATCCACCTTCACCCAATATCCTCACCGACATCCATCATCACCCGAACAGTCCTCACCGACATCCATCATCACCCGAACAGTCCTCACCGACATCCATCATCACCCGAACAGTCCTCACCGACATCCATCATCACCCGAACAGTCCTCACCGACATCCATCATCACCCGATATCCTCAACGACATCCATCATCACCCAAACAGTTCTCACCGACATCCATCATCACCCGAGCAGTTCTCACCGACATCCATCATCACCCAAACAGTTCTCACCGACATCCATCATCACCCGAGCAGTTCTCACCGACATCCATCATCACCTGAACAGTCCTCACCGACATCCATCATCACCGAACAGTCCTCACCGACATCCATCATCACCCGAACAGTCCTCAACGACATCCATCATCACCCAAACAGTCCTCAACGACATCCATCATCACCCGAACAGTCCTCAACGACATCCATCATCACCCGAACAGTCCTCACCGACATCCATCATCACCCGAACAGTCCTCACCGACATCCATCATCACCCGAACAGTCCTCAACGAATGATAATGAGCAGCTAATCTAACTGGAGCAGCTAATCTAACTGGAGTAGCTAATCTAACTCGAATCTAATCGCCTTGGAGTGAGGGGGGGGGGGGAATAAGAGGCGATTAGCCATTCAGGCATAGTGATTAAATGTGATTAAATCCCGTCAAGCTAAGTGTGATTTAGTCGATTAGATAATCACACTTAAATGGTATAGCAGCTAAAAGGGAGAGAGAATTGGTGGTAGTGATTCGCCAGTCTTCCACCATTATACAAACACGAATGGAACTTGCATGCAAATTACATATATACTTAAAGGCATCATCGATAACAACTACGACAATTTATGCTTTCCGTACCTGAGTGAATGAATTATTTAACTTATTAATTATAATATAAAATAACGACGTAATTTAAATCAATTACGTAACTTTAATTGATTATGTAATTTATGTCCAGTAATTCCCTAATTCTTTCACATTTTTACTGTCTCTCGCATCTGGTGTTTGTGTCTCAGACGAAGGAACAGAAGCAGTTGTTTGTAGTGTGAGCTAAGGACACAACAAAGGTATATTTTTGTATATTTTGTCGAGTGCAGAAACTATTTATAACTATTTATCTATTTAATAGCTTTGTTGTGTTGTTAGTTCATACTAGCAGTTGAATTTGTGTTGTTGTTAAGTTCCGTCCACTTGTTGAACTTTTTCTTGTTAAGTTTGCACCACTGTTAAAACTCACAAGAACACGAAGAATATTGGCTGTGACAATTATTTTTATACTTGAAAGACAACTTACCTTAATACCTCTGACACACACACACACAGTTTGCGTATAATGTATAGGATTTACACAAGTGAATCAGTGAAATGTCAAACCTGAATTATATATTTCTCCTGTGATATCAAATTACGCTTTATAATACCCTTACTTTAGAGGTTAAGTTTTTGTTCTTATATACGTGTGCTTAGATAGGTAGATATTTATTTAGTAAAGTCGTCATATATGTTTACATTGATTCAGTGTTTATATAGACAATGGATGTATATAGATAGTGCAGATATACAAACAATATATATTATTTGCTATATACAGTACATATATAATCCTTTCATATTCCGCTGTAGTATTTTCGATAAATAAATCTATTGGTACTATTTAGTGATTTCTCTGACCCCATGAGTGAGGTGACGTCATGTGATGATATTGCCTTACAGTATCTGTGTTGATGGGTGATGACATAATAATGATACTAATACAGACATTACGTGCCCAAAACCACTTCGTAGGAAAATAACAAAAATAATGAAATTAAGCAAATGAAAATGAATAACTATCATGTAAATATTATTAATAGACAAAATAATAAATATACAATTCAACAAATAAGTAAATAAAGTAATGATCCACCACCTGACACTTATATTTCCGTCAGTTCAGTGAGGTCATGTTCCTTGGCCTGGTGAAAGTTTCAGTGGAATAAGGTGCCGCGTGACGTAACGGCCTTGTACGAATACATTGACCTTTCCGCATACGTTTTTATATCCGATTTATATGTATTGCTATAAATAAATGAATCTATATATATATATATATATATATATATATATATATATATATATATATATATATATATATATATATATATATGGTGTTAAATCTGAGTGGGGCCGTGTATCCAGTGGGGTTCCCCAGGGGTCAGTACTGGGCCCACTCTTGTTCATAATCTACATAAACGACCTAGATACTGGGATCAGCAGTGACATAAGCAAGTTGCGGATGACCAAAATAGGGCGGCAAATTAATTCAGGGCAGGATGCAAATGCATTACAGGAGGATCTAAATAAACTGCAGGGGTGGTCTGAAAAATAGCAAATGAAATTCAACACCAGCAAGTGCAGCGTACTTAATATTGGAAGAACAAATACTTATAATGTATACAGCCTTAACAACATCAACCTAGAGAAGTCGACTTGTGAAAGAGACCTAGGGGTACTTGTAAGCCCGGACCTACGGCCTAGAAAACAGTGCGTTAATGTTCGAAATAAGGCAAACAGAGTATTGGGTTTTATATCTAGAAGTGTAAGTAACAAGAGTGTAGAGGTCTTATTGCAACTATATCTTGCGCTAGTCAGGCCGCACCTCGATTATGCGGTTCAGTTCTGGTGCCCCTATTATAGAATGGATATAAATTCACTAGAGTCGGTGCAGCGAAGAATGACGAAAATGATTCCGGGACTTAGAAACCTTCCATATCAGGATGGGTTAAAGAAACTTAACTTGCATTCCCTAGAAACACGAAGAGCGCGGGGAGATATGATAGAAGTGTTTAAGTGGGTGAAAGGAATCAATAAAGGGGATATAGATAAAGTTCTTATAATATCCGAGCAGGATAGGACTCGGAGCAACGGATTAAGTTGGATAAGTTTAGGTTTAGGAGGAGGTGAAAGGAACTGGTTCAAAATGGGGATGGACGAGTAAGTCAAACTCAAAAAGTAAATGATTTATAGGATGATATGAGAGAGTGGTAGTAACTCTCGACAGGAGCTGCCATGCACAGGCCAACCGACCTATTGCAGACTCCTTATTTTCTTATGTTCTTATGTTCTTATGTGTGTGTGTTTGTGTGTGTCTATACTGTATATTATATACTTTTTTCTTCCTTTCATTTATCATTACTTTTGACAATGTTTAAACCAGTCTTAATTAATATAATTGGTCCTCCACGTTAATTCTTTTCTTTACACAATATGCGTAATACACAACACAACAAATAAAATATTCCTAGAATATGAAATATATCAACAAACACTTCATAATGTATAAAAAAGTGAATTAATATTTTTTATATAATTATCAGTGTATGAATGAGCTCAGCTGACATATCGAGTACGCTAATGTTTACAAACAAACCCGCGTGGCTGGGAAGGATTTCAAGCCACTCATTCATAAAATTAGCCCAGCCTTTTCTCCCACCGCTGCCAGACACACGATAAGCCTCTCTACTCCCCCGTGGATGATATTGTTATCGTTATCATAAAACAAAACGTGAAAAGCACATTTTCTTTATTAATAAATAATCGTAATAATTTAACTACATTTATAAACATATAAAATAAGAAAGTAATTCATTTTAATTACATAAAAAGATAATAAGGAAAGTTATTTAATTACATAAATAAACATAAAAATTATGATAGTTATTTGCACTACAATATATATATACGAGTATAACAAACTCCAATTGATATATATATATATATATATATATTCGCCCTTTCTTTTACACAGATAAATAAAAATGCTTATAATGTCTAATAAACACTGAGAGAGAGAGAGAGTTTTAATAATAAAACATATACCTGTATAATATCACTATCATTATTTTATTATCAATATTATTTTATTAATTCGTGTATTAGTAGATGTAGAAGTTGTAGTAGTAACAATAAAGCTCACGGCAGCTCTCTCTGGGCACATGGTAGCTCAGAATGCAGCAAGTCAGGTGGGTACCAACGAATTGAACAAGATTCGACGCTCCTTTACGACAGAACGGCAGCAAAGTGATGCAGCAACTGTCAAAGAACTTGAGAAAAGTAGCTATAGCGCAGGAGGTGGACGCCTCGAACTGGCTAACAACGTTACTGAAAATGGCAAAAGGCTTCAGTCTTAATAAGCAAGGCATGGTTGGCCAGTAGATGGTTTGTCCACCTAATGCGTGTGTGGCTCATCCTACGACATCGACCACGCCATGGTGTGCATGAAGGGGGGAGCTTCGTATGCATGAGGCATGACGAAGCAAGGGATCTCACAGCAAATATGCTGAAGGAAATCTGCCACGACGTCATGGTGGACCCGCCCCTCCTCCCATTGGACGGTGAGAACCTCCATCACAGGATTTCCAACACATCCAACGAAGCCAGTGTTGACGTCATCGCCCGAGGATTCTGGACGCGGGGACGGCGAGCCTTCTTTGATATCAGGATATTCGACCCCATGGACGCATGTAACCGAGGAAGCACACAGGAGGAACGCGAATGACAAGAACGGGGCATACGGGGAGAGAATTCAGAATGTAGATCAAGGCAGCTTCACTCCTCTGGTGTTCACAACCTCTGGTGGGATGGGATCAAGTGCTGCTATGCAAAACGGGTTGAGGTGTTCTCTGAACAAAAGCAGCAGCCCAGAAGTTACGTCGTGGTCTGGTTGAGATGTCGCCTGTCCTTCTTTCTCCTAAGGTCTGCATTGCTTTGCCTCAGGGGAACGAGATCTTCTGTCCCAAAGCAGACAACAGTTGCAGATATTGACTTTGAGGCAACAGTCACTGAAAGCCGCATAGATCTGTAGCTTAACTAACTCAACACAACTAGGGTAGCTACCGTTATATTAGGATATTTAATATTAAGGTAATAAAATGGTAGCAAAGGTGTGATGATTGGGGGAGGCTGGAGGCCACGTAAGAAACAATAGTAGTATAGTAAACAGAACAAGAGTTACTCTGTGCATTAACTACTATAACTCATAAGAAAAGTATCAGGTACAACTCAACATATCTTTGGTAATATCTACATAAAACAAAATTCCTAACATATATACAAAATAATGCCAACTTTACCCTGTACACGATACATTAATAAAATGAACGATAGTATTTGAGGTGACCGTTGTTTTGAGGAACATTTAGAGAGCGCTGCAACGTTGGAGATGGGGGGTGTTGTGGGAGGGGGGGTGTTGTGGGGAGAGGGGCAGGGGAGGGGGGTGCTGAGGTGTTAGGAGGGGGTGTTGTGAGGGGATGTTGTGGGAGGGGGTATGGGGAGAGGAGGGGTGTTGTGGGAGGGGGGGTGTTGGTGGAGAGGGGTGTTGTGTGAGAGGAGGGGGGTGTTGTGGAGAGGGGGGGTGTTGTGGGAGAGGAGGGGTGTTGTTGGAGAGGGGGGGAGAGAGGTGTGGGGAGAGGGAGGGGTGTTGTGGGAGAGGAGGGGGTGTTGTGAGAAAAAATTTGGAATCAACGTTTATGTCTGTTGAAAAAATGTTTTCTTGTTTTAGTCAGGGTATTGCTTTTGTTGTGGGTTCGTGCGACACTATGTATTACTGGCCTTACAAAAACTACCCTGAATCCGGATCAACACGGGACGTTCTTGATATGTGATACGAACACATGAGGATTATTTCTCGTGGTAAGTTACACAGCAAAAAGGGAGGTGGGAAATCTGGAGTTCTGATTATTCTCTAGTTTACAGCACGATAATCAGAGGATACACATTTAACCTGTTTCGTAGGTGGAGATCAGAAGAAGATCCTGATTTTCTTCATTGAGTCGTGATTGGAAAACAGAAAATGAGGTGGTGTCTGTGTGTTGTCCACTGACTTTAAGTAAATAACACCTGAAATTCTTGTTATGTCTGAGGGATGACAATCAGAAGACTTTAAAGATAATCAGGGAAGTCTGTTGGATTGTAAATCAGAAGACACCAATGTGATTTTCGGTCTTCAGGTATCTATCTCAGTAGAAGGTGTCCCAGTAGGAGGTGTCCCAGTAGGAGGTGTCCCAGTAGGAGGTGTCCCAGTAGGAGGTGTCCCAGTAGGAGGTGTCCCAGTAGAAGGTGTCCCAGTAGGAGGTGTCTCATCTTTGCTGTCTCTCACTCAGGTGTTTGAGAGCCTTTGGTCCAAATTTGTACACAAGTTGTCTCTCTGACACAGGTAGTAACGCTCCAGTGCTGTAGTGGTACCTGTAGGAGATAAAGACCATTGTAGTGGTACCTGTGGGAGATAGATACCATTGTAGTGGTACCAAACTAACCTCACCACACCTGTGTAGAGAAACTAATAAGGATGCAAGTCTGATTTTACTTTCCTTTCTTAACCCATTCTTATGTCACGTTGTTATCAAGAGATTAACTTAATATCACCAGTTAAGGAGAATTAACTAACTACCTATTATATGCAATTCTGTTTCCCTTTAAATATGAAAACAGGAAAAAATTCTTCAAAATAATAATGAATAATCACATGTGTTATATAACCCGTATTGGTGGTACAGGGTTAACGTACGTACCACTCAAGATAATGTCCTGGGTTCAATCCCCTCTTCGGGACAGATGCGAGACAGTATGTGTGTGTGTGAGACCCTATCAAATAGGACAGATATTCCTCAGGTACAGTACTTCTTCAGTTTTCTCCTGTACTCACATTACTGGGGAATAACAGTAAACTGATGAACAAAATAAGATCAGTGACACGCACCAACACGACGACAGGCTCTGTGGTTCCTAGTTTATAGGATCACTTGAAGAATATATCCATCCCATATTATATAGCTCAAAGATTAACCACCCTAACGCTTATTGGGGGTTGGATTAGGTTAGGATGGGTTATGTTAGGGATGTATGTTAAAATGTGAACGTGTATCCTTCTTAATATTCTCATTAAATCCTTGTCAGTGTATACATACGTTCTAGATGATGTCACTGGGAGTTCCAGACAAAACGTATCTACTGTTATTTGGCGAGTGTTGAATATAAATCAACAGTCACCTTGTGAAAGATCATTAAATGCCTTATTTTAGATACTGCTACTTATCTTTGTTATGTATACTAAGTCTTTTATATACTCAGAGATGCTGAACAATTTGCACATTTCCCGCAACAAAGTCAGCCGGCTAGCTGACCAATCACGACTGACCCCATCATTCGAAAGATAGTTCTAACTTCGTTTTCTTATTTAATATCCCGATCCACATAAAGCCCTAACCTAGGTATTAATACAAAGAAAAATTAAGAATAATTTACCTAAGCCCACGAGCAAAGTTGAAATAGGTGAGATTTGGCTTCTCTGAACGTGCTCCCCACATCTGGGCAATGAGGGCTGGTTGAACTAATCGGAAAGTGGCATTGACTTCGTCTTCCCAGCGTATAAGGGACGGGTTGCTTCTCTTGTCCTCCAGTAGTCGAATAAGAAACTCCCAGCTCTTAGG